CAATAGGCCCTCAGAGTTATATTTCTAGTTTCAGATTCAAGAGTGATACATTTATACAAATAGGATGACCACACTCAGTAGAGTATAAGATTTGTAATGATACCTTACAAGATACCTTTTGCATGAAGCATATTTGTTACATTATATTCACACATCAGCATACTTTCATAAAATCATGTAGAGTGCAACGTCACACCGACGTCACAAGATATTTACATGTCAGATGCGCTAAAGATTCATATGTCCCTTGATGCTTCAACCACCATTCCAGAGGACATGCGTCCATGCAGATGACGGGTTCTGCTTGATAACAATCCAGAGCAGTGCGGACTGATGCATGTTCATTTTCATCATCTAAGTCAGATGCCACCAGCAGAAGGTTGATTTTCTTTTTTGGTGGTTTGGGTTCTGTAGTTTCCGCATCAGAATGTTGCTCTTTTAAGACTTCTGAAAGCATGGGCCACACCCCGTCTCTCTCAGATTTTGAAAGGCCCTTCAGATTCTTCAATCTTGGGTTGAGGGCTGTAGCTATCTTTAGAAATTTCACATTTGTATCTTCTTTGCATTTTGTCAAATTTGCAGTGAAAGTGTTCTTAAAACGAACAACCTGTGCTAGGTCATCATCCGAGACTGCTATAACATGAAATATATGGCAGAATGTGGGTAAAACAGAACAGTAGGCATGCAATTTTCCCTCAAGGAGTTCAGTCATAAATTTAATTAACACATAATTTTTTTAACGAGCGTCATCAGCATGGAAGCATGTCCTCTGGAATGATGGCCGAAGCATGAAGAAGCATATGAATCTTTAGCACATCTGGAACGTAAATGTCTTGCGACGCTAGCTACAACAGTGCCATGCGAAAGCCTGTTCTCACTTTCAGGTGACGTACTTAAGAAGTGGGCAGCATCATCTCCCATAAATTCTCTTCGCAATTGGCTGAACGAGAAGTAGGACTGAGTGGACTTGTAGGCTCTAAAGTTTTACATTGTTTTGTTTTTGAGTGCAGATATGTAACAAAAAAACTACATTTGAAGTTGCACTTTCATAATAGAGATTGCACTACAGTACTTGTAGGAGGTGAATTGAAAAATACACCTCTACCCCAATATAACACGGTCCTCGGGAGCCAAAAAATCTCACCGCCTTATAGGTGAGACCACGTTATATTGGGTCCGGTCTGGCGGGCCGGACTGGGCTGGCTTCCCCAGCGGTGATTTAAAGGGCCTGGTGCTCCAGCCGCTGCAGGGAGCCCCAGGCCCTTTAAATCACCACCGGAACTCCGGCAGTGGGGTCGGGTGGGGATTTAAAGAGCCCAGGGCTCCCTGCAGCAGCCGGAGCCTCTGGCCCTTTAAATCACTGCCGGAGCTCCGGCAGTGGGGCTCGGGCAGGGATTTAAAGGGCCCGGGGCTCCCCGCTGCTTTACCGCGTTATATCGGGTCGCGTTATATCAGGGTAGAGGTGTACTACTTTTGATTATCATTTTTAAGTGCAAATATATGTAATCAAAAATAATATAAAGTGAGCACTGTACACTTTGTATTCTGTGTATTCAGCGGCACTGCTATGGGTACCCGCATGGCCCCACAGTATGCCAACATTTTTATGGCTGACTTAGAACAACGCTTCCTTAGCTCTCGTCCCCTAACGCCCCTACTCTACTTGCGCTACATTGATGACCTCTTCATCATCTGGACCCATGGAAAAGAAGCCCTTGAGGAATTCCACCATGATTTCAATAATTTCCATCCCACCATCAACCTCAGCCTAGATCAATCCACACAAGCGGTCCATTTCCTGGACACTACTGTGCTAATAAGCGATGGTCACATAAATACCACCCTGTACCGGAAACCTACTGACCGCTACACTTACCTACATGCCTCCAGCTTCCATCCAGGACACACCACACGATCCATTGTCTACAGCCAAGCTCTAAGATATAACCGTATTTGCTCCAATCCCTCAGATAGAGACAAGCACCTACAAGATCTCTATCAAGCATTCTTAAAACTACAATACCCACCTGCTGAAGTGAAAAAACAGATTGACAGAGCCAGACGAGTACCCAGAAGTCACCTCCTACAAGACAGGGCCAACAAAGAAAATAACAGAACACCACTAGCTGTCACCTTCAGCCCCCAACTAAAACCTCTCCAGCGCATCATCAGAGATCTACAACCTATCCTGAAAGATGATCCTTTACTCTCACAGATCTTGGGAGACAGACCTGTCCTCGCTTACAGACAACCCCCCAACCTAAAGCAAATACTCACCAGCAACCACACATCACTGAACAAAAACACTGACCCAGGAACCTATCATTGTAACAAAGCCCGATGCCAACTCTGTCCACATATCTATTCAAGTGACACCATCATAGGGCCTAATCACATCAGCCATACCATCAGGGGCTTGTTCACCTGCACATCTACCAATGTGATATATGCCATCATGTGCCAGCAATGCCCCTCTGCCATGTACATTGGCCAAACCGGACAGTCTCTACGCAAAAGAATTAATGGACACAAATCTGACATCAGGAATCATAATACTCAAAAACCAGTGGGAGAACACTTTAACCTGTCTGGCCATTCTTTGACAGACCTGCAGGTGGCTATCTTAAAACAGAAAAACTTCAAAAACAGACTCCAACGAGAGACTGCTGAGCTGGAATTGATATGCAAACTAGACACAATCAGCTCAGGATTGAATAAGGACTGGGAATGGCTGAGCCATTACAAACATTGAATCTATCTCCCCTTGTAAGTATTCTCACACTTGCTTCTTATCAAACTGTCTGTACTGGGCTATCTTGATTATCACTTCAAAAGTTTTTTTTCTCTTACTTAATTGGCCTCTCAGAGTTGGTAAGACAACTCCCACCTGTTCATGCTCTCTGTATGTGTGTATATATATCTCCTCAATATATTTCACTCTATATGCATCCGAAGAAGTGGGTTGTAGCCCACGAAAGCTTATGCTCTAATAAATTTGTTAGTCTCTAAGGTGCCACAAGTACTCCTGTTATTTTTGCGGATACAGACTAACACGGCTGCTACTCTGAAACCTTTGTATTCTGTGTTGTAATTGAAATCGATATTTGAAAATGTAGAAAAACATCAAAAATATTTAATAAATTTCAGTTGGGTATTCTATTGTTTAACAGTGCAATTAAGTTAACTGCGATTAATTGGCAGCCCTATTTGATATCCTTCTAGTTTTGTAATAAAAACATTGTATGGTGCCAAATCAAATGCCTTACAGCAGCAGTTCTCAAACTGTGGGTCAGGACCCCAAAATGGGCCGTGACCCCATTTTAATGGGGCTGGCTTAGACTTGCTGGGGCCCGGGGCCAAAGCCTGAGCCCCACCGCCCGGGGCCAAAGCCGATTGCTTCAGCCTGGGATGCTGAGACTTAGGCTCAGGCCCCCTGCCTGGGGCTGAAGCCCTTGGGCTTCTGCTTTGTTCCCCCTGCCCAATTTTAACAATGCAACACACAGGTGAGCCAGACTGGTTTCCAGCTATGCTTTTGTCAGTGTTCAGTGAGGCCTAGGGGCCTTGGCATGAGCTGGTATCTGGTCTGCCAGTGGCACGGTGGGCTTTTCTATCTAGCAGACAAAGGGATAACATGTTCCTGGAAGCTAAATTCAGGCCTGGTCTACACTACGACTTTAATTCGGATTTAGCTGCGTTAATCCGAATTAACCCTTCACCCGTCCACACTACAGAGCCAGTTAATTCGAATTAAAGGGCACTTAAAATCGATTTCTGTACTCCACCTCGACGAGCGGAGTAGCGCCTAAATCGATTTTGTTAATTCGAATTAGGGTTAGTGTGGCCGCACACCACCGAATTAATGTGGTTAAAAACCGAATTAATGTGCTTAGTGTGGCCGCGCACAATCGAATTTATACAACCTGTTTCCCAAATTTGAATTATCTAAATTTGGATTAATCCCGTAGTGTAGACATACCCTCAGACTGGAAATAAGGTGCAGTTGTTTACCAGTGAAGATGATTAACTATTGTAACAATTTACCTAAGGATGTGACAGATCCTCCATCAGTTGGAGTCTTTAAATTAAGACACTCTCTTTTAAAAGATTGTGCTGTAGCTCACCCAGAAGCTCTTTGCTGGATAGATGAATCACTGGGTGAGGTTCTCAGGCTTGTGTTGTACAAGAGGTCAGACTAGATGATCATAACATGGTCCCAACATCTGCTCCTTCTGTTCCTGTTCTCATGCAGCGAAGTGTCTTTGGTGGAAATCCCATGACCAGGCTGACTTCATCAATTACAAATTCATTCTTTCCTCTTTCAGTTCTGCCATCTTCCTAGCTAAACAATTCTACATCTCCAAGTTAATTGAGTCCCAAGCCCAAAATTCCAGCCATCTTTCCACCACTTTTGACTCATTCTTCAAACTCTCCCGTACTTGTGCCTCTGCTTCTCTCTCTACTCAGGTTCTTGCCAATTTCGTCCAAGAGAAAACTGACAGAATACCACATGACTGTCTCTCTTACCTTGGCTTCCCTTCTCTTTCCTTCCTACACCTCTTTCTTCTTCCAAGTCTCAGATTTCCCTTGTTTACAGGTACATTCTGAGACCTGTCAGCCAGTTTTTAATACATTTAATGTGTGCCCTGTTGATTTTGTACCATTCTGGGTTTTTTTAATCAAAATGTTGTGTTACCATATCTCATGCTGTGGACTGGGAGTTGGGAGACCCGGATTCTGTTCCTGGCTCTGTCACCTCCCTGCTGTGACCTTGGGGAAGTCACTTCCCCTCTCTGTGCCTCTGTTTCCCCTCCCAGCATTGGTTTGTTTAGTGTAAATCCAGGGCAGGGACAATCTCTCACTAGTGTCTAAGCAGCACCCAGAGCAGTAGGGCCTTGATCTCAGCTCGGGCTTCTAGGCACATCTCTAATGCAGATGCTGCTGCTAAGAAAGGCCTGGAGAGGTTCTGGGGCCCAGAGCAGTGAGTCTGTCTGGTTCTGTAGGGGTGAGAGCCGCTGCAGACATTACATGATTGAGATGCAGCCCAATGCACGCTACGTGATCCTGGGGGAGGACCGAGCTCACACCTCGCTCACCGCGCTGGTCCAATACCATCAAACTGTGGGAATCCAGCCCTTCATGGAGACATTGACTGTGCCCTGTGAGCAGGTGAGTGTTGGGGACTCCAGTTGTGCCTTATGGGCAAAGGGTGGGAGGACTCAGACTGTGCCCACTGAGCTAATGGAATTGTCCCGATGGTAGTATTGCTTTGTGTTCCCATAGGAAATGTCCAGTACTTTACCAGCTGGTCAGGCAGCCCAGACCCCTCCTACCTTTATTCACTAGGGAGCTCTAGCAGCTAGGCCAGTGGTTCTCGATCCACGGCCCAGTCAGCACACAGCTGCGGCCCACATGACATCCTCAAGGCCATACAGGTAGTATATATATTGTGTGGCTGCGGCCCACACAAAACATAGAGAGCTGCATATGCGGCCCATAATGGTAAATAGGTTGAGAACCACTAAGCTAGGCACAGCAATACAGGTTAGTATTTTGGTGGGGAAGAGGGATGCTCCCATTGCATCCTTGGCCATCCCAGGGCATCTCTACGAGCTGTGCATTATGTCCCTGCCCCCCAGTTACCATCCTGGGGAGCGGCTCTCACAGCTGCATTGCATCCCAAGCCCCTCATTGATGTTCTGGAGGCAGGGGCACTCCCATAGTTGGGCACTCCTGGGGACTGCTGCATCTGGGCATTTTACTTCTGGCTGCTGACTTGGAGACTCCTGCAGCTAGCTGTGGATCTCCGTGTCTTCTGAATTCTGCCCTTTTTCCTTCAGAAAGGTGATGGGGACTCTGATTATGAGGAGTTGAAATTCCACACCCTGGCCCCATGCCCAGCAGATGGGGAGAAGCAGCCTCAAAAAGAACAGGCTGATCTTAATGGGGCACCTGCTGTCAGCCACATCCAGCATGCAGGAGCAACTGCTGTTCTCAAGCACATGCGGTTCATGAAATCAAAGAAATGCCAAGAGCAGCAGCTGAGCCCAGGCGAGGAGTGGGCGGAGCCAAGCCCATGTCAGGCTGGGGTGGCCAGACGGGCCATTCCTCGCCTCTACCCCTCCATACGATTGGCAATGTGGGAAATCCAGCAGGTAAGAAGGCTGGCGGGTTCTGTCCATCCACCCTGTATCCGTTGGCCACCACAGCAAACCCTGTCTGTCCAGAGTGTCTGTAGGTGAGTTAGAAGCTCTTTGCCTGGGGACCAAGTGGGGAAGAGGGCTCCCTGCAAGTGGAAGACAGTGGTCTCCTCCCTGATGCAGGTTTTCCAGGCTTCTCGTTTTCCATGCCCTGTGGTTATGTGGCCTCTGGATCAAGGATATATTCACTGGGAACTACAAGGTTTCAGGCTTCCTCACTCCTGGAGAGCAGATGGTGTGAGAGCCTCTGGGCATGAATAGCACAGGGCCCTGCAGGGCTTTGGTGGGGAGGTCCCCAGTGTGGAATGGCAGAGGGGGTTGTGTGTGTGTGTGATTGGGGGGAGGGGGGACTGCCATTGATCACCTGACATTGTGCCTCTGCTTTGCCCTGCAGTTTTCTTCCCACCCCTCAAATGGCTCCTATGCCGAGCCGAAGCCCCAGCACTGAAGGCAGCGGGGCCCACAGCAAGAGTGACATGGTAAGAGCGGGGCCTCTGCAGCGGGCAGGTGGTAGATGCAGCTTCCCTAGGGAAGTCAGAGGAACAGAGGAGCCATTTCATCTCATTGGACCTGTGGCTGCTTGAAGAGCCCCTCTGGACCAGCACCTATACAGATTTGGGAGTGGAGGGTAAAATGGGAGAGCGGCTGCCAGCAGAAGCTAGAGGGGCTTCTGGGAGCCTGCACCATAGGGAGCTCGGGGAGGGGAGGAAAGCTGCATTTTCAGCACAGGCTTTTGTTTCAGTGGCACTGGGGTGAGCCAAGTGCTTCAAAGGCAATAACCATGTCCTGCCCTGAGGAGATTAGCCTGTTAAAGGCCACAACATATGACAACAGCTGGGCGTGGGGAGTAGGAGAGAGTGAGGGTTACAGCAAGTTAATCTGTGCTCTGCTTTGTTCAGCTGCGTGTACAGCTTGTGGGTCTGAGGGGGGACCCAGGAGCAGATAGTGCCAGTGGGGAGACACTGAGCAGGTAGCATTGGGGTGTAGCAGGGATAGTGAGGAGAGAGAAAAGCAGGGGGCAGAGCTGTGCAGGTGAAGTAGAAGAGCTGGGACTTGATGTGGGAGGAAAGAGCAGCCAATGATGGGGTTTGAGCAAGGCTGACATAGTCTAAGCAGCAGGAGAGGGATGGTATTGTAGCTGTAGTATGTGGGATGGATTAGAGAGGGCACGGGGAGGGCAGAGAGGGCACTGGGGAGGGGGTGACCTCTGATACAAGATGGCCAGACAGGAAGGCTGTTCCAGGAGTCAAGAGCTGCGGCAGAGTGGCAGGATTGGAGGGAGGCATAGAGGAAAAAATCAGTGCCGGAGAAAAGGCAAGATTCTGGAAGCAAAGCCTTTGAACAAGGACAGTGAGTGGCCACTGTCTCCTCTAACGAATGCAAGTGTGTGAACCTGAAATCCAGGGTTCCTGAGACTTTTGGGAGCTGGAGACTCAGAGGGTAAGACTGAATTAACAACAGCTCAGGCCAATGTTCTCTACCTCCACAGGGGCACAGCTGGTTCTTGAAGAGTGGTGGGGACAGTCTTCACTGCTTGATTCAGAGTGGTAGCCGTGTTAGTCTGTATCAGCAAAAACAACAAGGAGTCCTTGTGGCACCTTAGAGAGTGTCAGCCTATGATACTAGCTGCGGTGCTGGGGGATTCATAGATTGTAAGGCCAGAAGGGACTATTAGATCATCTAGGATGACCTCCTGTACAGAAGAGGTCAGAGAATTTTATGCAGCTTCTCCTGTATTGGGCTCAATAACTTTGTTTGACTAATGCATATCTAATGGATGTACAGGCAGTGGGTGAAAGCCAATCCCCCACCTGGCTGGTGAGAGCCAGTGGAGAGGTGTTGATGTCACTGTTGTCATCTCCTAAGAGAGGGCAAGGAGCTGGCTTCTCTCAGCAAGTTAGACCCTGCTGCAGAAACCATCCCTTGGCACAGACAGTCTGCCTAGCCATGTCCCAAATCTCCCCTGTTGGGGCAAGGTTGTTGAGGAGGTTGTGGTAAAGCATCTCCAGCAATAACTGCAGCTACTTAAACAGTGTTCCCCACAGAGCACAGTTCTGCCTGTGCTCCAGAGCCTGCACTGGTCCCAGTTGCCCTCCATGGAAAGTTTTTTCATGGTTTAGGTCTCAAGAGGCACCTCTCTCCCCATGGACACTGCAGCAGCTGAGATCATGCACAGTTCTGAAGCTAAATAGGAGGAGGTGGGGAGGAGCTCCTGGACTTTGGAACATTCTCCCTGTCCCCAAACCTTGAGTCTGGATTTAGTGATGTTCAGTCCATGGTATAAGACCCATCTACTCTCTTTGGCTTTTCTGTGTGTGTATTGAGCGGTGAAGATCTGTTGGCAACTGAGAGGCTCTTTAGGAGTTCTTGTGACGATTTCAGTTCTGTTGTTGATTGCTGTGCTTTGTGTCTTGCACCTGTAGTCAGATGTACTTGAAACATAACTACCATGCAATCTGCATTCTGGGTACTTCACAGATCTTCGTTAGCTCATAGTGTGAGAATCGCAGAGCCTTCTCTGCCTTCCCCACCTTCCCTTTACATTCTCCCCTGAGACTTGTTTCCCTGCCTCTTACAGATAAACCTGGCTCAGGCCCCGTCCTCCTCTGGTACCACAGGGCCCTGCATCATCTGGTAGAAGCACCTGGGGAGATGGCAGCCTCTTCCACATGCACAGGGCTGGCTCTGTACCCTATGGACAAGACACTGGGAGAGAAGAACTTTCTGAGGCTTTTTGTCATGCTCTGCCATTGGGGAGCTGCTGTGCGGGCCACTCTCTGATTCTGGCAGGAGGAGGTGATGACATGACCAAGAGCTGGGGTCATTGTGCAAATGTGTATGGAAATCTTGGTGGTGATTTTTCTAATATAGCTGGAGAATGAATGCTGTGTACTTTGTGTGGTTAGATGTTTGGCTGCGTGTGTGTTCTCCCTGTGTGCTGTCCCAGCTCTGCGCAGACAGCTGACGCAGCAGACCTCAAGCAAACCGCCCAATGACCACAAGATCCGTTAAGGTGCGAAGGCACCCGGCCAGGTTTATTGTTGACAAAGCACTGTAATAGCACCTGGCAGACTCTACGAGCAGACTCTACTGTCGTGGGAAAAGTCAACCACGCATTGATTTTAGTTCACAGACTCAAGCCTGAGGCCAGTTTATTGCAATACATACCAACGCGTTGGGGTAGCAGTCCGAAAACTACCACACCTAGCACAGCACGCAGGCTGCTTTTATTCCTTCAAACCACAAGCATAGTACAAATAATACGTCATTTGCGAGTAATAAGAGTTGGGGTCTGTCCCCTTTTCCCGATACCTTCCTAATCATTTTACGAACATTGGGTGCATATTGGGTGGGGGGTTTCTTGGTGGTTTCCGCCTTGGGTGGTACTTGGCACCAGTTGGGATGTTTTTTCTCGTCAAGGTACATATTATTTTCCGGGGTTTTACGGTTAAGGGCATAGGGGCTTATCACAGGACGCCCAAAGAAGATATATGATTGGCTAGTTTGACAGTTAGCTGGAACTACAGGAGAAGTTGGCCTTTACTAGAAGCAATTTCTTCATGTAAGCGGTTATTATATTTCATAAACAAGCAGTTATTATGTTGCTGAGGCCTTCCGCATTGTCCCTCCCCCTCCCTGCTCTGGTCATAACCCTTGACCGAATTTGGCAGGGAATTGTACAGCTTAGTCTTGTTCAGGCCCTGGCCTCTACTGCCTTCTATAAGGGCTGTCAGTATATCGAGCCTCTGTCAGAGGGCCTGATTTTGGGCCTTTGGTGTTACTTTGGCTGGCATAAAGAAGGCCCCCCAGTTCTTTTTTTTCACAATACTAAGACATGTATGCCCGTGTTAAGGGATGCAGTTCAGTGAATGGCAGGACTTTCCATTCCCCCCTCAGCTAGACAAAGATACTCCCTCTGGGATACATCTTTATATCCCGATACAAACAAGTTAGTACTGCCTCTGACATGGTTACTGCCCCCTGATGTGGCTAGTTATCACCCACCACCTTGCTCGTCTTGGTTCGATCAAAACATCTCTATTACATACTGTCATCCTGACCTTATCTTTTAGGAGGGGTTAGTTTGTTCCTGTTATCCTTGGGGAATGTTTTTGTACCATCCTTGATATCAGGATGATCTGCTACCACTTAATATCGGGATGTGTTTGTGTAAGTACTCTGTGCTTAGCACTTCTTAGGAATGTGTATTTCTGCAATATCAGCCCTTTTTTGCCACATTCTGTGAGCGGATCCTGCCTCATACCAGGCCTCTAATCCAAGGGCTTATGTCTCAGGCTCTCTTCCTACTACATTTTGGTTAACAAATCTGATCACTCAGGCTGTCTCACAGTATTCCTTTAGCTCACAATTAGAGTGCTGATTTTCAATCTACCATTTTGAGTTTTCTCTGTGCTTTGGCAAGGTCACTGTGGGGGTTTGGACCTGCTGTTCTGGCAGGCCATGGATGTCTGGTGCTGGGGATAGGGAATGAACTTGATTTGTTCCTTATGCCTTTCTAGCATCAATACCAGAACTGAGACCCTCACAGAAACAGGAAGGCATTGCTGCCAGAGGGAGCAGCTGCCTCCCGTAAGCCAAAGCCCTCACCTGGACGACTTCCCCATCTCTGAGCTGGGTTCTAGCCCAGAACAGAGAAAATGAGGGACCTGTTCCTGTCCCCCATGCCTTGGTCTCCATGGAACAGTAACACTAAGTCTCCAGGCTGCACAGTGTGTCCCATGGCACAGAGTAGCTGATGCTGCACTGTTTGCATTTTCTCTCATTTAACACATTGAATGTAATGAGACTTTTTGGAACAGCTTCTCTGATGTTAGGTGGACACCATGACATCTGTGTTCCTATGGTCTGCAGCCATTTCTCTGAGTCCTGGGTGTGGGCAAAGTGCTGTCCAAGAGTCTGCTTAGGGAGCAAAGAAATGGTTAGTGATTGGTAACCAGGGCAGAGGTAATATTCACAGACTCCTTTCAGTGCTAAAGCAACTGTAGTGCAACATTATCCTGCTGTCCTAGCCTGTTGCTTTGGCTTTGGCGTCCCTCTCTGTGCATCCCTTCACTGGCACACCCTTCTCTGTCGCTGCTTGTGTTCACTGTCAGGGCCTTCCTGGTCAATCCTCATCCTCCCTGTCCTATCTCATTTGCTATCAAGTTGTCGACACATGGGTGCGTGATGCCAGCCTCCACTGCCCACCTGTTCGATATTCAAACAAGCGCCTTTATGCTTTCTCCCATGCTGCCCCTCAGGCTTGGAAGGCCCTCCCTATAAAAACCCTCAAAGCTACCTCATTATTCACCGTCAGATCCCTTCTCAAAACTCTTTTGTAGTGATGCCTACAAAAAACATGACCGTGATTAGGCCAGAGGACACTGAGAGCACAGCCTATCATGCTGACCAATACTGTTTCATTGTTTCCTTGTACTCCTGTTAGTCTGTTTGTCCATCTATAGTCTCTTGTCTGATACTTGGAATGTAAGCGCCTTGTGCCAAGGGCCATCTGTTTTTTTTCTGTCCTTGTACAACGCCTAGTACATTGGGGTCCTGGTCCATGACTAAGGCTCCTTGGTTGCTACAGCCATCACCCCAAGCCATCAGTAACAATCACAAGCCCCTGCTACTTGACCTAATGGTAGTTGATAAATTGCATAGTCAGTTGCTTTAACTCACTTTGACTCGTTATGAAATATATTCAGAAGACCAAAGAACCATTATCTGTCAGGTTTACTGCTAAAGCCAATAAGAATATACTATGGGGAAAAAAGAGTCATTATGATTGTGGTCTCTGGAAGCCATCTCATGCAGTGTTGTTACGTTCACCTTACACAGATGGTGCACTCCCAAAGTTATGCGTTTCAGCTGATAGTATTTATAGGATGATTTTACACGTTAGACATCTCTTTACGTGTCACTACAATCCATGCCATCAGTTCAACCCAGTTTCTTATCTTGTTGCTCTGTTCCTTCCCTTCTCTTTGTTTTGGATACTCATATTTCAGGTACTGGTTTGTCAGTATAACTCCTTACCTGTTGCTATAGTAAAATAATCATAGGTCATGATCCTGACAACTTTCCTAACTATTTAAGCCAAAGCTTACTTCAGCTAATGCAAGATGTTATAGGACACTTAGCGTAGGAGACCAGAATTATAGTAAAGATATAGGCCATCCAGGTGTGGGAAATCAGTATTTCAAGATCCCCATCATGGATAAGGTCATTCAAGGTTTGTTCTGCCTTGTGCATGTCGTGGCTAATATGAATAATGTGTGTGTGTTTTCTGTCTAGTAATGATTTTAAATTTAAACTGAGTGGATTAATTTACATGTTTAAAAAACTGGTTGGTAAGTTTAAACTTTATCTTGATATTGGGGCTCACTTTGGATAATAGATTCATTTTGAAAAACTGGGATAGACAGTATCATAGTGTGTCCCACAGTGCTATGTACATGAGGAATAAACCAGAAATGTGGAGTAGTAACGTTATAAATGAGGCCTCCATATATAAATTCAGTGTATTAATTACTACATGCTACTGTCAATCCATATTATAGGTCACCCTTACTGCTTGTTGTCACCATCTGGAAAGCTTCACCAGGCAGGAGTGGCTAGCTTCTGTGTCCCATTGTACTGGCTTGAGCAATTGTGGCCACACACCTGATTTTGCAATGTTAAAAATGTTCCTGGCACAACAAACCTGTGCAGTGCTCTTCAGGTTTGCATTGCTGTGTGATGCACCAGTAGTTGAGGTAGAGCCTGTTGTTTCTTGTACATGCTGTCTTTCAGATAACCCCCAATGGACAGTAGCTTATTTATTAAATATTGCTGTATCAGGAACCAGTATTGGTATACATGGAATCAGACACTGAGAAAGATTGTTTTGAATAACATGTGCCTTGATTAGTTATATTGTGTCACTGACCCCAGATTACATAAGAACAGCCATACTGAGTCAGACCAATGGTCTGTCTAGCCCAGTATACTGTCTTCCAGCAGTGGTCAATGCCAGGTGCTTCAGAGGGAATGCACAGAACAGGCAATCATTGAGTGATCCTCCCCTGTCATTCACTCCCAGCATCTGGCAGTCAGAGGCCTAGGGACACACACAGCATGGGATTGCATCCCTGACCATCTTGGGTAATAGCCACTGATAGACAGATCCTCCATGAATTTAGTGAATTCTTTTTGAACCCTTCTTGTAGTTTTGGCCTTCACAACATCCCCTGGCAACAAGTTCCACAGGTGGACTGTGCACTGTGTAAAGAAGTACTTACTTTTGTTTTATTTTAAACCTGCTACCTATTAATTTCATTGGGTGACCCCTGGTTCTTGGGTTATGTAAAAGAGTAAATAATACTTCCTTATTCACTTTCTCCACACCATTTATGATTTTTTTTAGATCTCTGTCATGTCCCCGCCTGAGTCATCTCTTTTCCAGGCTGAAAAGTCCCAATCTTTTTAATCTCTCCTCACAATGGATTACAAATGGTACTAAAGGGGAACTATCTACACAATTTAACACATTGCCAGTTTACCACTATTTTTGTTATACACTGAGGACAATACCATTTAGCTGTTTATTGCTAATAAGGTCAGGCAATTTCCTTTTTTTAATGTTGCCTAATGAGTTGGTTATGGTAGTTGTGACGGGTTGGATCACAGAAACCCCCTTGGAGCTGCCAACTGATGTGCCAAGACTACTTCTGCCCCTGCTTTCCCTGCTAGCTTGGGACTCCAGAGCCCTGCCTGGTTGTGCCAGACATGCTTGCTGGCCACAAACACAGACCCAGGTCTGAACCACGTCCCACAAACTGCAAGCTTAACTGAAAGCAGCTTAAGAAGTGTTCCTGCCTTTAACACTCAGACACCCAACTCCCAATGGGGTCCAAACCCCAAATAAATCCGGTTTACCCTGTATAAAGCTTATACAGGGTAAACTCATAAATTGTTCCCCCTCTATAACTGATAAAGAGATATTCACATCTGTTTGTGCCCCCCCCCAGGTATTAATACATACTCTGGGTTAATTAA